ATTCAGTCCTCCATACAACTTACCCCAACGTTTTCTCTCCACTGTCACAACTTACCCTCCACCAGGGGAAAGTTGTGCTACCAGACAACTTTTTTTTGGAAAGCTGTTTATTTGTAAAACTGTATTTCAGATTCAAAGTGATGCAGCACATCCTGAATCATATGTACATATTTTGGTTTGAAGCACGAGTCATGGCCTTGCTTTAAAGTCACTTTAAGTAAAAGGTGGCACATCTCACCCCACTCACCCCTACCTATGTTCCCTGGTATAGGGATGACCCCTGTGAGACAAATTTAAGGTTGCTCATGATTGGGGTTAGTGTCACGATAAAATCTAACATTTTCAAATTCAGATGATAAATGGGCATTCCCACTCCCACGCAATAAACCGACTAAGAGTTGTATCACTCAGTGTGAGGTTGCAGAGAGGTACAGAGGTGTGAGAACTCTAAAATGACACAGTACCCAGAAGCACTGCTGCCTACACCTGATCTGAACACATCCACAGGGGACAGAGGCGCAGCTGTAGTGATAACTTGTGAAACAAGTTGTAATCACAGTGGCCTTCTTCTTACAAATGGCACAACAGACTGTATCCCACTTGTACACTCTAATAGAAAGCAATCAAAAAGATATGCTGACATGGCAAAATGCCTGAAAATGAAAATAAAACACTCTACAATCTAAATATGTGAGAACAGGTTCAAGTAACAAATGAAAAAATATACATGTAAGGAGAACTTGTAGAGAAAAGATCCAACCACCCCTCCATGTAAAGATATAAAATATTCATTTTCAGAAATGACTCAGTTTTAAAAAATATTTTACAAAAAGAGGATCATGGTAATTAGATGTTTACACCTGATAGTAATCATGAACAGATTGTCAAAAAACAGAGAAAACTGTGGAAATATCTGACATAATTGTTACATAATCACACAGTTTACTGTGTTATAGCAATACTACAGTTGTGTATGGGCTAATACAGTCATTTCTTACTTTTTTTGTTTGATAGCAAGCTCACAGTCATCATGCTTTGGCCTGAAAATKCTGTGGAGACTGAGAAAATGTACAGCTTTGGTTTCCAGCCCTTCAACATTTTGACAGAATCATGCTTTGCTTTGGTTCAGTGAACCCCTGTCATTTCCTTTGAACCTAAGGAATAATTGTTCGTGGAAACTGCAAATGTGCTCTGCAATTTTTTCCTTTTTTTTCTTGTCAATGTATATATATTGTTTTTCTTCAAGTGGCTGTAAATCCTCTGCTTTGCTGTGCAGTTTATATCTTCATTAGCAACAGACATTCATAGTACTACATTGCTAGTTCATCAACGTCGTCAATGCAGTTTTGGTCCACCACAGGAATATTTTTGTTTCATCATGAGCACACTTAATAGAATAACAAATAACAATAATAAAATACAAAAATTGTCAGTTACATTGTATATTAGAGCATTGGTTCAATAGCAGCATGGGTGATTATAATAGCAGCAACAAGGAAAAATTACCAGGTGTTGGTAAAGTGTCAAATGTGTTTTAAAAGTGTTTTTAATTTGATAAAGTCTAACAGTACTTTAAAAAATGTAAAGATTATTTTGGTAAATTTGGCACAAAGTCTGCGAAACAGTTGAGTTTGTGTCAAAGTTTCTACAGAGTGAAGGATTGTGGGTGAATCTACTGACAACACGACAACAGCTGTGGTGCACAGTCTTAAACTGTTTTTCCACTGACCAGTGGCAGCTGTAAAATTCAGACATTTAAATGTGAATTGTTTGTAAAGTTTCATTGTAACCCTGACTGGAGCCAGTGTGGAAGGGTGTGTGACTGTTGATAGTTAAAGGTTATAATCATTATGTGAGAGGTCTGCAGCAAGTGTGCGATGCTTTCTCATGATGTGGACTTGCGAATCCTGTCACATAACGCAACCCCACCCAAACCATCTCTGCCTATGGGTACAGATGTGTGAGAGCATTAGTGCAAAAATTGCAAACCAAAAGGTGAGAAGCCGCAAGTTTTTTTTCACAGCAGAACTAAAAAGAAACGAGGGTGTTTCTAGGATGTCGTCCACTCGAAATGTTCCCCTCGCCACACCACAACACTGTTGTCTAATTTTAAAGCCATGTTTACCGGATAGAGACACAAAAACACCAGCTTTTTTTTCTCCTCCACAATAGGATTATAACTATGATGAAAWATCCTTCTTAAAGAAACAAAAACAAACAAAAAAATGACACCATTAGAGAATGATGTCAATTTATTGACTCAAAAATACATGGAAATGAAATGTCTGTGCTTTTCTGCAAAAAGAGAAATATCTGTTTTCCATAAACCATGTTATTTTAGGTAGTACTTACTTCCCATAAAATTACAAAYTGAATTTTAGTGTACAAAATGTACAGAAGAGACAAAGTTTATTTATTTYCTCTAGTATTGACAAGTTTTTTTTAGCCTATTTAATCTGGCTTCTGATCTGATAGYGCTGCAAAACCACACAGTTCTGTCTGTGTTTATGATCAATTCTTTAAAGTGTAAAAATTATAATATTTTAGGTTTAACTTAATCAGTTTTCAAAAGTCAAACATATATCTGTTTGACTTCAGTTTAATGTGTTTAATTTTATTTCTATTTAACATGAGAAGCTAACTCTGCTTCTAACTGCAGAAAAAACAAACATATTCATAATTATTAGTACATCATACAATTTGAAAGAACCAACACCATCAATTTACCACCATTTTGGAAGTGCTACAGCCTGCTGCTTGCATTTTCAAACAACCATGTAAGTGAGCTCAGAGGTTCATCAAACAGCTTTTGTTGAAATGCTATAGAATTTTTGGGGATTGGAGATTTGAAAGGCAGCAAATCTTGATTTTATTTTAAAGATAAACTTCTCACTTGGACAAGAATACAAAGTAGTGTGACAAATTATCACGCATCAGCATCTTTGCATATTATTATACATACAGTGGGGTGCAAAAGTTTGGGCAGCCTTGTTAATTTTCCTGATTTACCTTTATAGGTTTGGATAAAAAAAATCAGTTAAATATATCATAGGGGACAAACACAGTGATATTTGAGAAGTGAAATGAAGTTTACATGATTTACAGAAAGTGTGCAATAATTGGTTAAACAAAATTGGGCAGTTGCATAAATTTGGGCACCGTTGCAGTTTTATTGATTTCAAAACCTTTAGAACTGATTATTGGAACTCAGATTTGGTTTGGTAAGTTCAGTGACCCTTGACCTCCATACACAGGTGACTCCAGTTATGAGAAAGGGTATTTAAGGAGGGCAATTGTAGGTTTTTCTCCTCTTTGCATCTTCTCTGAAGAGTGGCAGCATGGGAGTCTCAAAACAACTTTCAAATGA